TCGCATGCCTTCTTCTTCCGATAGCCCCCATTGTCTGCCTGTTACTGCTACAAGACTGATGCACATTGCTAAGAGGCTCGTATGTCGCAAAATGTGAATTCACGGATAGCCTTGTACTTCAACGGTTTCAACTGCCACCACTGTGATTTGTTTGAGAATACCTTTGAAGGCCTTTTACCTCGTTGTCATCTGAATCCATGGTGTCTGGTTGTAACGTTTGCGGTAAGTGTGGTCATCCTGTGTACCCAGACCAAGAATAAGAAACTGTTCAACATCTCAAAAGAAATCTTATTTGGTAACAAACAGCAGAACGAATAGGATTTCACTGATCTGAGGAAGGCACAGTTCAGACTTGTGCTCAAGCGGTCAAGAGGTATTCGCATTCAAAACAAATGCTCAAATTTATGTTACTACACACTTGATTGGTATAGTCCGAAAGAATAAGTACTACACACTTGATTGGTATAGCCTGAGAGAGTAAGTATCGGCGCCAAACTGTACTCGGCTCATGTTTGTTTTTAGTGTCTAAGAGTATGTGTAACTTGTTTTACTGACTCAGTTTGTCTCTGACGCCAGTCAATAAACGAATACCTCTGAACAGTGACTGTCCCTATGCGAAAACATATTTTTTTGCCAGTCCACATCACTTATGGCCCCATAACATGAAAGTCGGCTTGAATCAACTTAGCTTTTTGACCTATTGTACATTAGTGTTTGAGATTTTCAGCGCATACAGGTTTGCGTATGGCAAACTATGACGATCATTCACTGATACGGTTTTTGAAGTTCAAGCTTACATCACGTACCGACTGGCCAGCCTCATACTTTGATTTAGAGCTCCGAAATATCAGCGAGTGTCTTATATACTCACTGGATAGAACGCCACTCGGCTAGTATCTTCTCAAATTTGTACAAGGGCTGATATTAACCTAGAGGGATTTTGGACTGGGAGAGTCGATGACCACAAAGAATTTAGAACGGTCAGCATAGGTTATCTCCATTTTTTACGGCCTCTTCAGGTGGCCTTGAAGTAGAAGCGGTGATATCGAGTGGAATGGTATCCGGTACTGTTCGAATGACGTGCAGCGTTTGATTAAGTGACAAGTACATCCAAGTATCCCGACCTAAAGCTGCCACCTTGACGTGGTGGTCGGGCTTGAGTGCTGCAGCGATCCCGCGGGTTACACTGGCTGGAACTTCGTTTCACAAGGTACAATCATGCCAGGAAGGCCAAAGGGGAGCAGCCAGACCAAGAGCAGCGAGACCCCGTACTACGAGTAATCGTGCTACGAGGCAGTCTGGGGGTAAAGTCGTACTGTCCTCTGCGACAGGAGTGTGAAGGCAGTAAGGTGTTTCCCCCAGGCGACCAGCATGTCCCAAATCATCGGTGAACGAAACTGCGGCAGCTGCAACCACTGTACGACGAGTACGCGGTTATTACAGCTGACAATGATGATGATGATGACATCCAAGTAAATGCATACGGTGGGTTTGCGTAATAGAGGTTACTACATTCTAAAATCGAGGATACAAAAAATTATTGCTCGATACCGGCCGAACGCACCACATAGTGAGCTAATTCATAGGTTACACCCTCCATCACCATCAATGAGAGCATGTGTGATTCAGCAATGGTAACAAGCTCAATCTTGATGATCTGGATACGCTTATATGTTTACTAGTCTGACCGAAGACCGCAAAAGGTTTTTGATAGAAGAGCTGCGACTTTTTTGCAGTCGTAATACGCCAGATGGCAATACGTACTGAAACACCAACAACATGCCCAAAAAGATCCTGCTATCAATGACCGTGCGGGTGAGATAACTTTCCAGCATGGTAGCCCATGAATGCATCCGTCTCGCGCCATATACAAGTAGGTCTCGTTCACGATGCGCTGTCTTTTCAGTGGGTCTGCTTATAAACTCAAGTGGAAAGTTCTGCGATCCGGGATATAGAGAATCTGATCCTAAAGACCACATATTTCATACCGTCAATAAACACATGGCTATGTGAATGAGAGAAACTTGAAAGTCATATACAGTGCACAGCTAACCCTTCCCTTTCAACTTAATATAATAAAACATGGAGTGAATTCGTTGGAGCCCAGGTATTTGTCCAAAATATACATTCTGCTGCGATTTGATCAAGAAAGCCCCGAAAAGGTCGGCGGGAGATGCTAACATCTGAGGATGTGCCATCTTTCCCAATTGGAGTGTTCTATCTCAGTGACGAAGTACTTTGTAAATTTTTTGGTTAGGAAATCACTACTAAAATGCGATTGATAAGGTCATTGAGCCTCATAATGCAGAGACACACGGGTTATGTGGAACGTGGACAGTTTTCTTTAAGTTTTGGTTGAAACCAATTAATACCTGCGTGACACCTGGTCATGCAGTTTGTATTCACACCACTCTCGTTTGAACGGTCGCCCTCCTGTCCCGGAGTAATTATTTTGGTGAGTTCACACCAAATGGAAGCACTGGACTCGAGTTTCGCTCTTATTTGAGCTCATCAACAGTCCATATCAAATGACCGTGCCGGGATTTAAACCCCGGACATCTGACATGGGAGGCGAGCACGTTGGGCGCATCTCAATTTTCACTTTTGAACAGGTGAGCGTCTTCACGCTTGAGGGGGCGAGATGGCTCAAGTGGTTGGAGCGCGAATTTGCTGACCGGAAGGTCCGTGGTTCCAACCCGACCTCCGCCACTCGACTTCCCCTGTCTAGGCTTGGGCAACCTGACAGTATCCCAGCCCTCGTGCTTCCTTCGGGTGGCATGGCAGCTAGGCACCGAAAGGGCGCTACAGCTGAACGACTTCACGCTTGAGCATTCCGACTCATCGAACGACGACCCGCTGGCTGTCCTGGTTGTGACGATTGATTGACCCGCTAGTCTGGACTTCCCAGTCGGGTAGCGTCACAGGCGCTTGAAACCGGGGCTCCTTGTCCGCACACTGCTGCTAGCTGCAGAGCCTTTCGGCATGGAATAAAACTTTTTACGCCAAAATGTTGCATTTCGTCGCGTGTATGTCCAAACCAGAATCCGTTATAATCTACGTTCACATTTTCGCAGATCACCAAATCCCATTGTCCACCGAAGAAACCATACCTCTGGCTGTATGTTCCTAGCACCACTCGGACCCCAGGGTGCCTAGATGGGGCTTAAAAGTGTGGGTTGGTATTCTGAATTCAATTGCCTGTCTGTTTTATCCCACCAGATGTGCGGAGTTCGAATCCCGGCACGGCCATCGGGTATGCACTGCTGATGAGCTCTAATAAGAGCGAAACTCGAGTCCAGGGCTTCCCTTTGGTGTGTACTCACCAGAATAATTACACCAGGACAGGAGGACGACCATTCAAACGAGAGTGATGTGAATATAAACAAAAGACATTCCTCAAAATCCCACAACAGTTCCTATCTGCTTGATGCGCAGTCAGTAGCCAGCGATCTGTAGCGAAAGGTTACGCATTCAGTGACGACAAAATATATCATCAGGACACACTGCTAGTCAACTCGCTGTCTAATCGAATTTTTTTTCGATGGGTAACCTTTCGCTTCAGATCGCTAGCTATTGGTTGCCCGTACCGGTCTTGCTACCATGGCATCTCTTCACTATTAGCGACCTTGCCGTGCACAGCAAATTTCGGGGTTTTCTGCACTTAGTCGGCTTCGAACGTAATGCGGACACTGCCTCACTATCGGTTTACATAAATAGCGCATCTTTGCTGACGCTCAGGCTAAGACATTAGCACCTCTATTGTTTTCACTAGTTTATAATCGGAGATGGACTCAGTATAATGGGGGCCATCCTTCCATGTTGCAGCTATTTTGAAGACGAACACGGGGTACTTGACACAGGCTGGAAGCTCTGCGGTTAAAATATGCTTGGACTCCAACAACAGAGTTATTTGCCACTATGTTTTGATACCTCGCATCAGCGACTGTCTTAAGGAGCCTACAATGACTATTGATTATATGGTACTTGTTGATTAACCTATGGCTATTGACCAGCGCGTCATCTACATTTTAGCCAATTACCTTACGACTTCAATTTTTTCGCTTCGTATGTGCGCTGTAGTCAGAGGTGGACATACGTGTATGCGTGTGCGTCACGCACACAAAGTCCGACACTAGCATGTTGGTACTTCGTGTGTGTGTGAGTTTACTTTCTTACTTCTATGGTGGACTCATTGTTACATTTCACACTGCCTCCAACTTCCTTACAAGAACTTTCCATTCACCAACAGGTGCTGTTCTGAAATTCGAGATATAGGTCCCTCTCCGAAGAAGGCCAAAACCACTTCCGTGGTGAACACTTGCTCGCAGACTACTGGTTCAACTATTCCACTGGAGAACAACAGTCAGCCCGGACGAGTAGAAAAGTCTGGGGCTATCGGGTCTTATCCGGAACCGTTACTGACCCGCATGGCTGACAGCTTACGCGGGTCGTTAAAGAACACCTCTGCTGAGGAGAGAATAAACAAGTCTTCTGTGCTAGATCCGTCTACCGCGTCTCCCATGGTAGAGTCTCATGCACATCAACCGGACAAATCAGCCTCTCATGCCGATGTAGCAACCATTTCTGCTCCTGGTACTCAGATGGATGTTAGTGAAGACCAATTGCATGGCCAATCTGGAGTTTTTGAGCACGAGGTCCCGACTGTTCTCCACCCTCTACCAGAAAACTCGTAAGTTTCGTTGAACTTACTTCCCTTTGAACGTTTCATTCCGAATTTATCTAGTATCCGGCAAACCACCTCAGTTGACTGTATACCTTCTTTTTTTTCGGAGGGACCACTTCACGGGACCTGAGTGAGATATTGCCATTTGAGTGTGCTTTATAGGACTTCTGATGGATGTTCTCTCCTGTGCACCGTAACACATCATACAATGGGAAGCCTTCGGCCTTCCCAAGCATGTAAATAAGCCCTAGTATGTTTTAGGGAACACCTTGATTGAGCTCTCACGATGGTCTACCTCTGAATACACTCAAGAGGAATAGGGGAATCCCAGGGAAATGAGAAGTGTGCTACGAAGCGCTGTACATTTCACATCCTTAAGGTTACCTAAACTTCGTATCTAGTAGTTTTAAGACTACTTTCTCACTAAATTAGAAATTTCATCGAGGTACCTCGTGAAAAGATGCTGAGACGCCTCAACATGAAGTGACTTCAATTTGTGGCTCTTGTTTGGACAGGTTGGTGAAACTCCATGTAGCCCAAAATCGAGGGTGCAAAGGAACAATAGAATATAAGCTCATCGGGAGCATTGTTACGTTGGCATGCGTGCACTTACTTTTAGAGTGGATGGTTCCCGAGAAGTGTCTCCTGGCCTAAATGAACAGGATATTTTGGAAACCGTACAAAACCGGGGGTTTTCGAAACGATAATGTTGTACAGTTCTTATGGCTTGGGGGCATGTGAAGAAACCTGTTAAAATCTCTAAGTTTTTTTATAAACTGAGTGGCTTTGTTTTTGTAATTTTTTGCGGTAGCCTTGTTGCAAAAGTCTCAGATAAACTGACGCAGTGCATCCTGACCGAACTTCCAATGGTCGACCGATCTACCCGCTGCGACAAAATTACGGTCATTCCATCTTTTGGCATGTGCCTCGTACATTCAAAGTGCAAAGTCAAGCTTCAGGACGTGCCGTCTGCGAACATATCCTTTACAATTCAAGGAGAACCACTGGAGATCGTAGAAAACTTTACATACCTCAGTAGTTGCATTAGCTCTGATGGAAGTGTGTCGGATGAAGTCAGTGCAAGAATCTCAGAGGCTCGAATGACGTTTGTCAATTTGCGTCACCTGTGGCGTCAAAAAGGCATCTGGGTCTTAAGGGTCGTGTGTACCAGGCTACAGTAAGGGCTGTGTTGTTGTATGGGTGCGAGACATGGCCTCTGTGGGTAGATGATGTGAGGCGTCTTCAGGTTTTCGACCACCGATGCCTCAGAAGCGTGGCTGGTTTCGGATGGCGTCAGCGTATCAGCAACGAGGCGATT